AGCTCTAAGCTAGTAATACCCTGTCCAGTTATTATTATAGATCCATGACTTCTTGGCTTTAAAATATGTTATTCAAAATGGCCAAACCTTTCAACCTGTATTCATATTCCCACATGTTTAAAAAACTTAAAACAATTATAAACGTATATGGCTGTTTGTACACATGGCTTATATAAACGCAAAACAAACACTAACAAAAGTAAATGTAAAAATATGTAAAATTCTAAAACTTCAGTAGAGACTGGGTCAAACTCTGCTATACATAAGTAAGTACAGGTTTTGACAATGTGAAAAAACAGTAAAAACAAAATACATAGAATAATGCATAGGGTTCTAACAAATCTTCTGTCTTGAAATGTACACCATCAATCAATCAATCAATCAACGTTTATTTATAGAGCGCCTTTCCTACACAAGGCAACGCAAAGCGCCTCACAACCCATATAACATCATGCATAAATCATCAAACATTAGAATTTAAGTAAACATAAAAAGACAGATTAAGAGCACAAGATATATAAAATCACACAAGTAGTTAAAAACCGTAAAACATTAAAATCACACAAGGGATTACAATCATAAATAATCATAAATAATCATAGCGCATTAAAAAGATTAAAGATAAAAACAAATATAAAATCATTCACTTGTATGCACAGCTAAAAAGAACTGTTTTCAGTTCAGTTTTAAAAACTGCTAGAGTAGATGCCTGTCTCACACTCTCGGGAAGACGGTTCCAGACTCTAGCTCACTAACTCAAACGCAGCCTCCCCATGTCTAGTTCCGACTCTTGGCACTAACAGAAGTCCAGTCCCTGTGCTCCTCAGAGCCCGAGTTGGTTCATATGGCACCAACATGTCGCGGATGTACCCTGGTGCGAGGCCATGGAGAGACTTGTACACAAGTAAAGCTACTTTAAAATCTATTCTCTGAGCCACAGGAAGCCAGTGCAGAGACCTGAGGACCGGACTAATGTGGTCGTACTTCCTGGTTCTAGTCAGGACTCGAGCTGCAGCATTTTGGATGTACTGCAGCTGTTTTACCGCTTGTTTAGAGAGACCTGTGAACAAGCCATTGCAGTAGTCCAATCGACTGGAGACAAATGCGTGGATAAGAATCTCCAAGTCTGCTTTAGACACAATGTTTTTAATTTTAGCAATGTTTCTTAGGTGGAAGTAAGCTGATGATGTCACAGATGATATGTGTGACATCCAACCATGAGACTATCGGGTTATTCAGTACAACACAAATACACTGATACACACAGACTTGTTTTGTTTCAAAAGGCGGCGGTTCTGTGATCTCCGTCTGGGTGTCATCGCTGCACAAACATGTAAAAGGCAAAAGTGACGAGAAAGGAAAACAGAGGAGGCAGTCCTTAATTGCCTTTTCAGTCATTAACAGGGTCCCCCACCTCATGAAACATTAATTACACTCAGCGCTTGCGAGATAGGGACGCTTAATTAGAAATTATTCAGCGCACGGCGAGAACCCAGAGATAGCATTCCGTCGGCGTGTAAAATCACGATCTAAAATAAGCGCTGGAGAGGAAGCTTATCTGGCATCCCGATTACCGCTTAGTGAAGTTGCCATTCACCTGATAGCATATTGAGTCAAGTAGGACACGTTTTAACCCATTGTATTCCCCCCTCCCCTCAGCTCCCACCTATCCCATACACCCCTGATGGTTTTATAAATCATTTACACAGCCCCACCCGACAGAATGTAATCGACACACAGGATCTGTCAATTACCGCCACATCTGGGACGGACTGAACGCCACATCGCTCTTTCCCGTGTCAGCCCTGGCCTATATAAACAGAGCGTGCCTGCCTGAGCTCAAGCGACGAACAAATAAATACTACAATGCATGGTTCAAATGTTAACGGCAAGACTTTTGGTGCTTTTTTCTCACATACACTGCCAAAAATGATCAAATATGAGATAATTATTGCTCGAATCGCGTTGTTTTTGTCTTAATTTAAGTTCATTCTGACTGTTTTAAAACGAGATTTGCCAATGAGACCAAGAATTTTGACTTGATTCAAGAACTATTGCTTTATTTTCTGATTCCAAGAGAGAAATGTCTTGTATCTTTTTAAAACAAGATCATTTTTCTTGTTCCAAATGGTAAATCTTGTTTTAAGGCAGTCCAAATGTGCTCAAATTTGGGAATTTTTTTGTCTTTAATTCCATCATATTTTGCAGTGTATTGCATCTGGTTTGATCATAAACTTAAATAGACCTATAGTAGTGATGTCCACATTCAATTTCAAGGGGATTGTTCTTGCAAAATGGATGAAGAATAGTTTTATTGTCGGTTCAAAGCATGTGCAAAGCAACCAGAGTTTTGCAGAGATCACAATATGAAAGCTCTCCTAAGCATCTTCATGGCCAAAAAAAGGTTTGCTTCGATCTCTAGATAACATGAAAGATCTGTACGGTCTCTGGTTGTACATCACGACTGACATTTTAGGCTGGTTCCAGTCGTTCCAGTCGCGGATGACCATTCCACGCCCATGGTACACACCCACTGCTTTTAATCAATTCAGTTCACAACGAAACCTTAACTCCTAATCGGCTGCTCTGCCCGAGATTTTTGTGTGGCCCTTTGTAGGCATGATTTTTACAGGGGTGTACTGAAAAAGGGGAAACATACAGTAAATTCTAGTAAATAAATACAGGGGCGACAGTAGCTCAGTTGGTAGAGCATTGGCCTTTGAGCCTGAAGGTCGTGGGTTCGAGCCCACCGTAAGACCTACTTCACGACTCCCACTGATGACTGCTGTCGTTGTGTCCTTGGGCAAGACACTTACCCCACTTTGCCTGAAGCCCCCACTGAAAGATCTCAGCTCCTGTGGACTCACCAACTGCAGGAGGATCAGTGAGGGGCTGGTGCTCTGTGTACTGGGTTGCATCTCTGGCCACCCCCCCGACCCAGAAATGGATTAAGGGGAAGAAAATGGATGGATGGATGGATACAGTAAATTCTATGTTTAACCAGTCTTTCAGCAATTTTGATATATATTAATTGAGGTTAGTGTGATTTGTTGAAGAGGATTGACCTATGAAATGATTTTGATTAGATTGTGAAGCCCTAATCTAGGCCTTTAATCATATATGGTTGTACTGACCTTTTGCCTCAGATTTAGTAGACGAGATAATTTGATATTAACAGTCATTTTTTTCCCCATTCAATTTATTTTCTACACCACATGACACCCCTCACATCCACTTGGTCCAGATTTAGACTGTGAAAAACGGAATATTCTCCAGAACCAGGGCTCTAACTGTCCAACCGTAGGACATTACCACTCCTGATTGGAAATACCCTTGACACTTCTGCCCTCTCTTTGCCATGGAGGGTTTTTTTCTCCGTACCTCCGCCCTCTGGACCAGCCCAGCCCTCATCCCAGGTGTATTGATCCCCCTCTTCCCGTCGATGTTCTGTTCTTCTGTTCTTGAGCAAAATGCCCTTCCCCAGCGCCTGGGATTGCACAATGGAGTGCTAATAATGTCAGCGCACTGTACCTAAGGAAATGGATCGGCCTCATACAGGGGCCTGGCTGATGCTGTGTGGGAGGATGTGGATGGATGAAGGAGAATTTATGTGAGTACAAAGAAAATGGAGGTAATGGCGATACGTTGGGTCTGCTAATCTAGGACCCAGCGCCACCACTTTTGCCTCATAAATTGATCTGTCAGGGCAGGATCAATGGAGTTGTATTGATGAGATTACCCCGAGACAATATTTAGCTAATAAATAAGCCTTAACTGGGTTCATTAAGTGAAATCCGATGTGTAAGCAAAATTAACATGGACAAGTAGAATTTTCTGACTTTGACCAGTTCAACTTGACTGGATTTGAAGAGTTTTGTTGAAGTAGAGGCAGACATGTACATTTCAGGGCAATGCTAAATGCACAAAGCCAACAAATCCAAACAAAGTGCTAAACTGCTGTTGTGTCCATAGGCAAGACACGTCGTCAAAAGCGTCCACACATTTGCAAAAGCGATATTTAAAACATACACAGTGGACCTAAATGCCAGTGAGGGATAGAACTTGTCAGACAAGCCACAATTAATCAGTCTCCTCAATCTGTTGCTTGGACTGACAGAGCAGACGTGTGAAGCTAACAGAGCTAACAGGAAGTTGTCTGTCACAGGGTCCACTGTCCGACCCAGAAGGACAGAGAGGAAAATCAATACATCAGTCACTTCATTTACCATGGACCACTCTTTTGCTGACAAGACTCAAAAACATTTAAAACAGACCTTATTCAAAGACCCTTAAGAAATGTACAAATGTTTACAACTATATAGTATTACTTGCACTAGAATATACAGTACTTTCTCCTTGCTTCTGACTATGCCAAAGGTAGAGATTGCATACATAGTTTTTGTACCCATTATGCTAAAGATTGAGATTTTATACTTGTTTCTTTTTGATTCTAGAGTTAGAGATTTGATTTAGTATAGAGTTATTGTTCATTTATCTTGTGCTGTGTGTTCCTCATTGCTACTGTTCTGAAACTGGTGAAGCAACACTGAAATTTCCCCACTGTGGGACCTTTTATACAGAACTTTATCAGACAATACTAGCGGTAAAACTTGTAACAGCAAGAATACATAACAATGATATGCTCGATTTTATGAACTCACTTGACCGTTTCAAGTATTTTATTAATCAAAACAAACTCATTAGCTTGGTCTGGCCTGATGCAACCACTTGCCTGTTTCCATGGGAACACTGTACAAAGTTGTTAATAACCAAAGAATTTTGATTAAGTGGATAGACCTTGTAAAAAAACAGAAATACCGTTCGCATGTCGAAGAAAAAGGAGAAAATTCCGTCGCGGATTTGAAAAAAATACAAAAGAAAACTATTATTCTACCATATAATTTCTCCGAGTGAGTCAGTGAGTTCTTTCATCTCTTAAAAGTCCAGACTATAGACGTCCTCCTGTTGCAATTATGCACTTATGGACAAAGAGCTCTTACCTGTTTTTCAGATGCTGGATGCTGCCCAGGCACTTGAAACGTCCGTTCACCATGATGGCCATCCGGGTGCACAACGCCTCGCACTCCTCCATACTATAAAGCAGAAAATGAAAGATTGAAGCAAAACAATGTACAATGTGGCCCGGATAATCTGATAATTAGAGATGAGATGCTGAATGTATTTATTTTGGTCAATTGTTTGAATAATAACAGATATTACATTCACTGACTGTATTAGAGCGAAGGGCTGAACAGGTCGTAAGCTACTTAAAGACCTTATGCCGGGTTTGATTTATTTAGAAATACAGTTTTAATACCATTTTATATTAGAAGAGAACTACTAAAGGTTTCAAAATCAGTTGTTGTTTTTTTTGTCTGATCCCCCCAAATCGAAATAACCCCATAGCAACGCCCTTAGAGACGAAAAAACTTCACAGCCCTTGGTGACGTCAGAGTGGGTACGTTTCAACGCTGTAAGTTGTTTACAATTTGGTATTCGTTCTTTTTTCGCGGATATTCAAGATGACAAGGCCGTGTACAGCGAGTCTGACATAAATACTAGAATGTCACATTTCGTTGTCACTGAGATAGTCCAGTGGTTGTGTCGATGGACTGCCAATCCAGATACTTGGGTTCAAATCCCACCCCGGACTCTTCTTCACACTCAAAACGGAAATTTATGTGTAGTGAGCAATTGTCACCTGTAGAGGGCAGTATTGTGTTGGGCATCAGTGGAGAGAAGAGAGAAAAGGCAGTCCTGTGGCATAGATCCATGGTTTTCAATGCATGGGCGTTACCCGCTGTGACGTCACACACAGGTTAGAGCATAGACAACTTAAATTCATGAAAAACACGTTCTTTTTATAAAATATAGGATTTTTTTTGCCGGAATCTCTTTCAAATTGACATTGTCATGCAATTTTGATAGCCACTATTTTTTTTAAAAAAACCCGTCATAAGGTCTTTAAACACAACAACTATATATAAATTAAAATGAAATATATATTACTGGTTTCAAACTCAAAATACATTTGCCAGAACAATGTATTTTTTTGTTCACTTTTCTATTTTTATTGTATTTTTAATGTATTATTATTATTATTTTTCAGGCAATGTGTATGGATTTTGCCTTAATAATGTATAAATAATTACAGCAAAAGGGAGGCACCATCTGTACATTTTATCATCTCGTCATTTTCACTGGGCTGAAGCAGGTTTTAACTGTAGCTGGGGCGAAAAACCGTGAAGCCTTTTTGAGGAATGGGGCAATTAGGATTATGACTTTGTAAAACCTGGAGAATGTGCCACTTAACAAAACACAACCACCTGGTCATGCCATGGACGATTGGACACAGCGCGGACAGCTCTGTGCCGACGGCAAATTCAACAACGCTTTCTCTGTCTCCTGAAGGCAGCGCATGCAGTGAGGCCAATACAGTACAATACCCATGAAAATATTATTATGCACTTTGTCTGCTGCGAAATTACCGATGACACACCATTACCCAGGTCAAGTTGGAATTAGAAGATATATTTTGCCCACAGCGAAGTCGTGTCTGTTTATCGGTGTCTACAGCTGGGTCCAGAGACTAGTGTTGGCTCAAGTCCAAATATTGATAGATTTTAGCTCCTGAAAGAAGATGCATTTTCTGTAATTCAATTAACCGACAACAGATCAGAGAATCAAATCGTTCACACACAGTGGCGGCTCAAAAGTGGCCAAAATGACATGCGCTGACATGCTGCAATCAATCAATCAATCAATCAATCAATCAAAGTTTATTTATAAAGCGCTTTTTCATACAACAGATGCAACACAAAGTGCTTTACAGTTTGGCTAAAAAACAATCCTGCCCATGCCCTCCCCCCGACCGCCCAACAGACCCTCCCCAGACCACAAGCAAACACCCCCCCCCCCACACACACACGCGCACACACACACGCACCGATAAAACAATAAAACGATGATAAGAGACTTGGCAGGGTTCAGATGCAACCGGCTGAAGAAACGCCATCCAAGGAGCCGTCAGCGCCAGGAGCAGAGAGCCGCCCATAGCCAAAGGGGACGACACAGGACCCAGAGGGGACCCAAAACCGAGGCCCCGGGCCCCCACCAGGTCCAAGAGTCCGACCCCCACAGCCACAGCCAACCACTGCTCCCAGCGCAGAGGGCTCCTCCAGAGGAAACACTGGGGATACTAAAAACAATATAATAAGTAAAACACTAAAATGTGAGCCTGAAAGGAACTATCACACAAAACATGAATAAAAGCAATAGCAATACAATAAATAATAAAGGATAAATAGAATATATAAAAATGGACTAATAAATACTAATCAAAAGCTAATCTAAAAAGGTGTGTCTTGAGCCTGGCTTTAAAAATATGAACGTTCTCTACCGCCCTGAGCTCCTCCAATACCACCCCGGGCCTGTGGGGGTGGACCCGGAAAGGGAATTATTCGATGCAAATGTTCGTATCTTCTGACCTCTCGAAAACGTCTTTACAGGATGGTCCAAAAGTTGTCTCTTGGCCCAAAGCTCCGTTCCACATGTGTGTCAATGCTGAGGGGGGTGTTCTGGACCAGTCTAGTTTAGTCGCTGTGGACTTTAGAAGTCACTCGTTTAAATGAATGGAGCTCGTGCAGCACACACATTTTCCAGCCCCCGCGGCCATTTTGAATCACTCCCAATTTTTGGCCCATTAGTTAGAACGGCGGGGATAGGCCTGACTACGTCCGTTAATATATACAGCCTATGTTCACTGGTAACAAGCATATACTGCAGGAGCCAATTCAACTAAATTCAATGTATTCTTTTATAGCCTTAAGTCACAACTGTAGGACTTTACGCAACCGCTGAATTCGCCAACGCAGATCAGAGAATCAAATTAGGTGTCCGACCGAAGCACTTTAATTGTTGTTTTCACCCCTTGTATTGGTTTTTGTCGATCGGTGCCACAGTGTCAGCATGTGGCACCAAACGACAAATTATTACCTTCTATTTAACAATTTTAGCGTTTGTATTCCAATGTGGTTTTGCTGCAGATGGCACACACACATTAACTTAGACAGGATGTGTGTGTGTGTGTGTATGTATGTATGCGATATTTATTGAGCTTTTTATCATGTAACTTGCAACTCTCCGTGCTTTTTAATTGCCCCTTGGGGATAAATAAAGTGATTGATTGTTTCTTTGTTTATTATGTTCACTGTAAATGTATATTATTTTATATTGCAGTATTGTGCTCTTTATTCTGTTGGTGCACACAGAGTATGTTTTTTTGCAAATGTATTCCAATGTGGTTTTTATACTGCACATGGCAAATATAATGAATCAGAATCTGAAACAGTTCAAATACAAGAAATGAAACACATTGGAATTGGTTCATAGGGTGTGGCAGGACGACCAGTTTCTATAAATGTTCATAAATATGCATGAGAATGTCTTGATGTAACTTTGAACTTGCCTGTTCTGTTTCACTGTGAAGCATTGAAGCCCATGTGAAAGGTATTAATCAATCAAAGTTTATTTGTTGAGCGCCTTTCATACACACACACACAGTCTGCTTCACAGTCCACATCACAAATCATCACATAAAACAAACACCAGAAACACAATTAGAACATTTAAAAACACACAAAAGTTGAAACCATAAAAAAACTTTAAAATTACAGAGGGAATTAAAAAATAAATAACCACGGTGCATTAAGAAATGAGCTAAAATGCTTCAGTTGAATGCACAGGCAAACTGAAGAGTCTATAAACGGGATTTAAACATTGTCAACGTAGACGCCTGTCTCACATTTTCAGGGAGACTGTTCCAGATTTTAGCAGCATAAACCTGAAATGCAGCCTCCCCATGTTTAGTTCTCACTCTGGGCACCAAATATCACTCAAATCCCTACAGTATGTTCAGAAACAGTGTGTGTGATCTTCATGCAGAGACAACGTTTTGGATTGTATTATAATGAGACCAGTAGGGATGCAAAATATTCTTTAATTTTATATTTATTTGATATTTTTATTTTCTGTCAAGAGTGCCTCAGATTTCCTCCTTTCTACAATCTATTCCTTTGAGACTCAACATCTTTCCGCTTTTCTTCATAAAGTTCTCATTGTAAAAGAATATCTACCAGGTCAGCATTTTGAGAAGGTCTAAAGAGCCACAGATTGCCTCATTTACACAATAGTTATGGAATGATGAGAAATGGATGAACACCGTTATTTCGTCAATAGTCTCCATTTGAGATGTTTAATTTTCTTGTGTATTTTTTATGTGCTGGGACTCCGTTTTAGTCTATAAACTGTTTGATACAATGTTTCTTTTGTTGTGGTGTCTCAGGACGCAAAAAAGAGATGGTTCGTCTAAAGGGGCTATCCTTAAAGGTGCTTTCCCCGATATATTTTCTAATGAATGTGTATTACTACATATAAGTTGTATTAAAATCCGTAATTTAATGTAAAACTTGAGCTCATTGATTCTGCTGTGTAAGAATTCAGGCGTAAAAAGTGCTGAGTAGAGACTTAGCGTGACGCCCGCTCTCCTCCAATCACAGAACGAGGCTGCGTCCTCTAGCCTCTACAGCGCTGCTAAACACAGTAGCATGTTAGCATAAGTGGCTAACTCCTCTGGCGGGTGAATTTACGTAGCGTTGGCTTACATGGTGTCCTCTGGAGGGACCAGCGGGAGAGGGACCGCCTCGGACTCTCTGTGATTGGACATTCGGACGTGAAACTAGCGGTAATCTTTCAGTTGTATATTGTGTTAGCAGTGCGTTGCTTTTGTACCATTTCATCAGTGATTGTAGTGCAGCTTACAAGAAGTTGCACTAATGCTAATGTTAGCATACGTATCAGATCGCAAATAAAACTAGATGGAAGCCTGTGGGCGAGTTGGGGGCGGGGCTAAAGATTCAAAGTGAGAAAAACCTGCAGAAACGGGTATAAGGTTTAAGAATAATTTTTTTTAATGGAGCTCAACGTTACTGTCAAGAGTTTATAGTTCATAGTTTTGAGTTTTTTTCACCTTTAAAACTACTATTACAACTTCTGTCCTACATCTTGCGTCTGTGGATCTCTGGTTTTCATTTTCATAACAAAAGTAAATGGTCTCTCACACACACATACACAAATAATTCCACAAAAATCTAACTTTTGCTTTTAGTAACTTGGAAAAAAACTAAGAAAAGTGTCAACCTAACCTTTTTGTGGAAAGTTAAAAAATAGTCAGTAGAAAATTGTTAAACGCTCCCTATTGACTTTACAGAAAAGGCTTTGAGTACAACAGGCACATATTTGGCTTCAGAAATAGTCCGCCGCACAACTTAAGACAACTTCAGATTGCTCCGGGAAGTCTCGATAATGAAAAGGCTCCAGCAAACTTATCGACACGCACTGTTTTAGAAAAGAATAAGCTCCTATCCGTCAATACGCCCCGGTTCCTCATGAAATCTTTATAGCAGCGAGTGAGCTTGTGGCTGCCGATATTACCTGCCACATAGGAAACAATACCTCTGAGCTAAAGCGGAACCTAAATCAATTATAATCACTAAATGTGCTGCTCACAAAAGCACTGTTGTGTTCCCGCTCCTTCAATATGAGTCTGGCCTCGACTTTGTGCACTCAAGACGCCACGATAAACAAAATAAGTACCTGTGAGAAGTGAGGATTACCGAGCGGCCCTCTTTAATAATGCCCAGAATGCAGTCCCACAGGAAGCGCCGGGCTTTCGGGTCCATGCCTGATGTCGGTTCGTCCTGGAGAAACACGGAAGTACAGTACATGCGAGAGATAAGAATATGTTTTTATTTAATTTACCTGCAGCGTGAAGTTTTGAAGCATCATAATTGGTTATTTTGCTTTTGTTTAGGGGTAAAAACAAGACAGATACAGTATGTAAGTGCATTATCAAAATCATACATCGTCACAGTACATTAATGCACAGCGAAACAGAACGGTTTTTCAGAATTTTGGAAGAAAGCTGTTTAATAAAGTAATACAGCAGATATAAATCAGTAATCATGAAATTATTTGCCTTTTTTGTACATTTGAAGCAGTGGGGTCAGGTGAGATTGGTGGCAAGGCCTTATATGGAGCATGTGCCACAAGTAAAATAGTGTTAGTAAAGCTACTGCCGTAAAATGGGGGATAAAATACTTGTAACTGTTAATTAAGGCAAGGCAAGGCAAGGCAAGGCAAGGCAAGTTTATTTGTATAGCACAATTCATACACAAGGCAACTCAAAGTGCTGAACAAGATGCATTAAAATCATAAATAATTACAGAACATTAAAACGAAAGATAAAAATATAAAATCCCTCAGTTGTAGCACAGCTAAACAGCACCGTTTTTAACCTGGTTTTAAACATTGTCAGAGAGGAGGCCTGTCTCACATCTTCAGGAAGACTGTTCCAGATTTTAGCAGCATGAATCTGAAAAGCAGCCTCCCCATGTTTAGTTCTGACTCTGGGCACTAACAGGAGTCCAGTCCCTGTGCTCCTCAGAGTCCGGGCTGGTTAATTAACCGTTCCAATACTCTTCATTGCTCCAACAATCAAAAACCCAGAACTATAAGTTTACAGAATACCAAATTCTGAGAAACAATTTCACTTCGACAGACAGCACACGTTTTTTGCTGTAAGGACTTTGTTATTGTCGTTAAATGCAATGATCCATAGCAGCCATTAATCATATGCAGCAGTATGCTTTCTACCACCCAGGGCGTACAGCATTATGGGTAATCTGCAAGTCGCAAATACAGGTTAGACTTCGACTTTTCATACAAAAGGTTAATGCCATTACATTTAAGATTTAGCAAATTATTATTATTATCATTTTTTTCTTCATGGGTTTCTCGAGCTTCCTGGTTGTGAACGATGACATCACTGTACGGATGTTACTGTCACTTTATAAACCAGGCTTCAATTCTGCAAAATTACAATTTGCTTATAACAATATAGAGCATGTTTCTTGGGAATCATTACAGTTACAGAAAGAAATGTTTGCTGTAATATGGGAACCTTGATGTAAATTCAACATATTTTCCCATTTGTCTTTCCAAACTGTGACTTATTGGTATAAAACAGTAATTTTCAGTTAAAACAAAATCATGAATTGTCATGAGCACTTTGGTCAAGCAGACAGCTGGGAGATATGATTGAAATATCTTACAAATGCAGACATTTCTAAAGCAAACACAGCCCCTGACTGATGAGGGGAAAGAAAAAACCTTTTAGATAAAGTTGTGACTTTGAAATATTTGGACTTCTTTCCAAACAGAGTCGTTTTCATGTCGTGTTTTAATATATACTTCTGACATAGTTACAATAATCTGTATCTGGGAAACAGTCTGAGCTGAAACACACAACCCCCTCGTTTAGAATCTCAGTCATTCATGTCCAGTAGATTTTTATTATGTTTTTATTTAAAAAGAAAAGAAAGACATTGCAGAATACATGTGAATATAACTTGTTTAAGAGGTTGAAGGTACGGGTTACTGTGTGAGGCCTGACCAGGGGCTTTTGATCTAAAACTTCCTGATGACCCGGAGGGATCCTTCCTGATGCCCTGGGGTGAAACTCACACCTTGGATATTGTCCGTGTGAACATTTGTCTCATAACTACTGAACTTCTTTGATGGCCTTCCATTGTCTTCTCATTGTCAGTCTAGATACAGTAGAACCCTGTAGCCTGCAGCTGCTGGTTTGGGCCCGAACTCTGTTCTTGTAAACATTAAACTTCATCTGCTAAAGAACCCTGTGGTTCTTCTACTCATAAACATAACAAACTCCTGTCAACAGATGTTAGAAAGACATTTTTATGACAAAGTATTCTTAAAGAGCGACTAAACACCTGTGCCCAGCCTGACTCCGCCCACATGAACATTTTAACATTTTATCTAAAAGGCATTGCCCGAGGACCAAGAGACAAGAATGGGGCTTAGAGTTGGGCGTGGTCTGGGCTGTGATTGACAGCTCACTTGTCACACGACAGTTGTCATTGCTGCTTAAAGCAATAGTTTACTCCAGAAAGTCTCATTCCTTTGTTGTAGAGCTACACACCTGAACCTAAGCTAGAGAATTATCTCAGCAGTAGTGGCTGTCAATGGATGTAATTACATTTTAATCCACTAGATGTCGCCAGAATACTCCAACCTGCAACTGGGGCGTTGGATGGGTTTATATCACTGGGCAGAGAGATGCACGTCACACACACCAACTGACGTCACGTCACACACACCAACTGACGTCACATCACACACACCAACTGACGTCACGTCACACACACCAACTGACGTCACGTCACACACACCAACTGACGTCACGTCACACACACCAACTGACGTCACATCACACACACCAACTGACGTCACGTCACACACACCAACTGACGTCACGTCACACACACCAACTGACGTCACACACACCAACTGACGTCACGTCACACACACCAACTGACGTCACACACACCAACTGACGTCACGTCACACACACCAACTGACGTCACGTCACACACACACCAACTGACGTCACGTCACACACACCAACTGACGTCACACACACACCAACTGACGTCACGTCACATACACCAACTGACGTCACGTCACACACACCAACTGACGTTACGTCACACACACCAACTGACGTCACACACACCAACTGACGTCACACACACACACCAACTGACGTCACACATCACTCCACAGCCAATGGAGAGGCCAGGACCAAAATTCAAATGCAGTACCACCGAAAAGGTAGAGAGGGCGCCACACCAACGGTTTTGGGCTCAAAAGTGAGATTTTATCTAAAAAATGACCAGGATATGTAGAGAGCACTACAATAAACATATGTATGCAGTTTATGAGTTTAAAAATGTGGTGTTTAATCGCTCTTTAAACAGTATATTCCTGACTAGAATTTCACCCTAAACACGATTGAATTTTACATATATCACAAAAAAATAATGTGCCATTTCTCAACACTAGATGCTAAAACTACAGTAGTTTATCATCCCTACAACCCAAACGTATGTGTAATATCTATCTCCTTCTATCCTTTTAATCGGACATGTTTTCCAGCTCTGGGTGTTCTTGATTGGCATATTCACCTGTCAATAAATCTCATTTGAACTTGGAAAAAGAAATCCGTGCCTCGACTACATCCTTCTTGGCCGCCTCCAAAAGCGCTGCGTGCTTAAAATATGTGCCTTTCCTGTAATGAACCATTCATTTTCTCATTCCAAACTCAATGGCCCCTCACATCTAAACTCCAAATATGCCCTCAAAAAAAAAAAAAAGAGCCACATTCTCCACAGAGTGCCCAGACAGACACTTGTGCGGTGACTTGCTGCTTCTGTGCCTCCTCAGGGCCCGTCTGTCCATGGCCGATTAGCGAATGACAGTACTCAGTCCATTGGCGAGCTCTGGTTCCAGCTCTGCTGCTCTCTCTCGCCAACAGACTCCTACAAATCCCCAGGGTATTTTGCTACTGTCGCCCAAAGTGTCCCATAGCAGAGCCGGCCCAGCACACAATACTGAAACTGACACACAAAGTGACAACACATTATTCCACAGACTCGGGTCTACAGCCGACCGAAATAGCACAGTCCCACAGCTATTGTACCATCCACACAAAAGGGAGCACTGAGGCTTTGGGCAAATATTGCTTCAAACGGGACCATGAATGTGAATTTTGAGGGTCTACTTTTGGAAATGGACATGTCCTTTTCTAATTCATTCTAAATTAGATTTCAGGGAGACCTTGGTTAAAACCTGTGGCTATCGCAGAGTCTCCAGCGATAGCCACAGGTTTCTGAGGATAAGGTTCCACTTATTCCTATTTCAATGTCTCATTATTTTCCCCATTCACAACGCGCTGAAAATAATGCACATTGTCAATCCTTCCTCTGAATAAGTAAAAAGATAAAAAAATAAAAGTTGCCTGTATATCATTTAGTTAATTCGGAGTCATGTCTGTATTAATTTTCTATCAGTGCGACTGGACTGTCAGATTATTGTTAAGTCCCAATGAACAGGACTTTAATTTGAGCAAACACAGGTCTGTGTGCCTTACATTTTTCTAAAGAAATTAGTTCCTCCTAAAAAGAATGAAACCATGACCTGGGGGTGACCCTGCAATAAGCACGTTTCTAATCTCGAGCTAATGCATTTGTAATCCCCCGAGGAGCTTCCATCCTGAACTTCAAACTTGTCTTCTGTGTTTGAATCATACTTAACACTCCTTTGCAGTAAAAAACACAAATAAGTGTGGAAAAATACACATTTTTTTTACCAGAATTAAATACTGAATTAAACCCAAATGCTGGTATGTAATGAAGTTTCTTACACAAACATTGACAGAAGAATCAGAAATATGAGGATGTCAAAACTCAGATAAAAAAACAATCGGATTTGGGAAAAAAATATGAAAGTGGCTTCTTTTTTATTTTGTTTTTTTCACATCATGAAGGCATTTAACCAATTATGATTATTTGAAGTAAGTTTGGATATTCTTCTCAGGTTTTTCAACTTCACTGTTTAACTTCTAATTAGTTTAAATGTTTATAATACATTAAAAGCTACGGTTGCTTTAAAATTAAGTTTAACATAGTATCCCCTTACTATCATGATATGAATAATAATTGATCCATTTCAGGGATCACTTAAACCGCTCTTGTGAGACGGAGTTTGACATGAAATAGATTTGGTTTCTGTAAGTAAGTAGTAAGCTTTATTTATATACCGCCTCTTCACTGCACATCGGAGTCTCAAAGCGGTTTACAATTGTTGTTTTTTTTTTTGGGAGTGGGGGTGCCAGAACAGGGGGCACATGCCAGACCTATTGTACATATTTTTAGTGGTAGGGGAAACCGGAGCACCCGGAGGAAACCTACGCATACACAAGGAGAAAATGCAAACTCCACTCAGAAAGGCCCCGGTCCAACCGGGATTCGAACCCAGGACCTCCTTGCTGAGAGACCAGAGTGCTATCCACTCAGCCACCGTGCCGCCCTTTCTGTTGATGTCAGAAGGAGACAATGTCCTCATAACTGGTTGTACTAATAAGTCTGACTGCTCCTCACACTCTCACGGTGGTACCAGTATATGTTTGATAGTTCTACCATAAACAATTTCAGTGGAGGAATTTCAGTAAAAAACACATTGACATTTTATAGTGAAAGGATTAAAGCACAAAAAACAACAAATACACCATAAGAAAACTAAGATAAGTTCATCTAAAAGAAAACTAGAATATTTAACATTTTATAATAACAAAAAATCAAAAGCCAATCTAAAAAGGATGGATTCTTCTACATGCAGTTCCTTGATAAAAACTTCTTTCTGCATTTTAATCCACATTGTATTCAATCAAAATCCAGCTAGACCAAGTTGGGCAGAATTGTAAATACGGTTGGGAAGATGTTCAGTCTTTACTCGTCAGCAGTCAGAATGGCCTTGTCTTTTATCAGTGATGTAGAACAGCCTCTGTATGACAAAGTTAAACTAATACCATCAAGGCCGTCGATAAAGAATGCCTGAAGCAAGAAAGAAGGAATACAAAAGCATGTGTACGCCAAATGCTGTCGCTATGGACGTGTTTCTGGCTCAAGCTGAATTTGTGTCTTGAAATTGTCTGAAACATGTTGAATTATTGTCATTGAGATGGTAAAGCAAATAGACATTACCTACCACACTGCGTCGTGGACAATAGGTTCAGGATAAAGTTAGTAAAGCGGCTATGGCAAATGTCAATATCATGGATCTATTTTATTAACTGGATAGGGTATTACTACTGTAGCTTGGAGCTGAAGAACCCATGTGCTCGGGGGATTCTCGCGGTACTGCAGACTAAACCAGACTAAATTCACGTGGGCTACACAGAAATGTTCCCAATAGAACTCAATGTAAACTAAAACAGCTCGACCTCAGCTGACAGAGAACCTGACAGAGAACCTGACAGAGAACCTACAGCTTTCATAAAGATCGGATATTGTGGGGATTTTAGTGTCCCTTGCCGTCCTGAACTTTGTTTCTTCTTAAATCCTTCGGTTTTCTTTAAATCCACACTTTACTGCCACAAACTCTGCCCGTCTGGCTCCCGCTCTGATCAGCAGTTCTGATTGGTCAGAGCGTGGCCGAGCCCCTCTGTGCACGTGCACGAGAGCCACACAAGCGTATTTACCACAAAGCATCATGGGAGATCATCCACTGCGCAGAACCGGGAGGACCAGACGATGCCCAAACATGGACAAGTTCCCATGGAGCTTTGCGAGTTCCACTAATATGTCAGCGACCGTGCCGGCACAAAGCGCCACTGAGTACAAACCATTCATATGAATACGGCGCCATCTTGGATCGCCGGGGCTTGGTCAATATCCACACAAACGTCTAGATGGTACAAAGAGACATGTCCCAAAATGGCTGCATGCATTTTGGGTCTTCCTGAAGATGTGAGACAGGCCTCCTCTCTGACAATGTTTAAAACCAGGTTAAAGACAGTTCTGTTTAGCTGTGCATACAACTGAGGGATTTTATATTTTTATCTTTCTTTTTAATGTTCTGTGATTATTTATGATTTTAATGCTTTCTTGTTTTGTTCAGCACTTTGAATTGCCTTGTGTATGAATTGTGCTATATAAATAAACTTTCCTTGCCTTGCCTTGCATATGATTAAAACCATCAGCACTGGCTATGGCACCACTAGCTTCAGCCTTCAGATACCAAAACATTCAAGTGGAAAATCACTGAGTCCTGCATACTGTTAGAATGACGAGATCCACTTTAACCACCGGTGCTTGTTATAAAATATCCATAAGTCTTACCAAGAAGATGACGGGAGGGCATCCGATCAAAGCCATGGCGGTGGAGAGTTTGCGCTTGTTGCCACCGCTGTACGTCCCTGCAGGCTTGTTGGAATACTTGACCAGCCCCAGCTTCTGGATTCCCCACTCGGCCACCTTTGAAGATGATAAACATTGAGCAAAAATAGCGTTCATAATAATATACTGTGTCAGTGCGGCGCTTGCATGATGGATGGTTTGCTTTGATCTCTTGTGTATTTTGCATGGAGCCCGTTTCAAGGACGTTGTGTGACAGCTGCCATCACTGTAGGCTCTTAACATCTGACTGCTGCTATTTTCACACTAGAAATCACACAACTTTGATAGAGCAGTGACAGACAAATATGGCATTCTTTGGATTGGGCTGAGATACAATCGTAGGCACAAAGTAAGCGGTTGAAACTGTGCTAACGCGTTATTGATGTGATCCATAAGTGGTCCACATCACTGCTGTAAATGAAGTAGTCTCATATCATCAGTGTCTGTGGTATTTCTACTTCATGTGTGGGTCGGAAACATCCACATGTCGGCAACATTTGGAGGTCATTTTTTTCCTTAAAGAAGTAAATTTGCTCTTTTTATTGATGTAGACATGCAGTATATACAGTAAAGTATTATATTTGTGGAGTGTATATTAGATATATATAATAAGCATGGTTTATTCTACCCAGCAGGAGCCCCAATCACTAGAAACCAGCTGCTACAGAGATAGCAGGAATTGAAAACAAAACAAGTGACAGAATGCAAGCTTTCTGGAAAGAATCCTCAAAATAAATAAATCCTCCACACAAATTACTATTTGGATAATTATACAAACATTGGCTCAACATTCTTACATCGTCTTCCTAGTCTGGGAAATGTACCGCAATTGTTGAACTGAGCAATGTTAGAGCAACTTCTTTTTCCACAGTTTAAACCGTTGATTAATCTGACGACGCCTTTAAGAGGGAAGTATGGGAATTATAATATTAATTATGCATTGATTTTATATAGCGCTTCTTTCACTCCATACACTCTGGTGATTAACTACTATTGTAGTCACAGCTGCCCTGGGGCGCACTGACAGATACGAGGCAACCACTGTGTGCCATCCGACCAACTCAAGCCATTCACCCACACACCAGACTCATTCTAGGCAATGTGGGTGAAGTGTCTTGCCTTAGGACACAACATCAGTTTGGCACTATACAGCCGCAGCCGCCCCACTGTGGCACCTGCTGTTCCCAGAGGTCTCCCATCACAGCACTAACCATGCCCTTCCATGCACAGCTTCAGAGGTCTGACAGCCACTTCACTTGCTCACTCTCTGGTTAACTGGGCCGAGCCTGGTTCACGTTGTGGAAAAATGCTTTACAAATCTGTATCAAAAGATTTAAAGTGACTTAAGCGACTACTGGACACATGGTCTGTTGTTTGGCACTTTACATCCACAGATAAAGACTTTTGAACCTAAAGTGAACCTGAAGTGGTCCAGTTAAAGTGAACCAGAAGTGTGAATCCACTCTTTGACTTGAAATCCTGCATATTGTCCCACACACGGGGTAAAGATGCCCTCCCTCACAATAGGCATCGCGGTCAAATGAAGAGTTATGCTAGCAGCGCTCGAGTGGGTCCCATTGCACAGCATGAAAAGATCAAAGTCCTGGCTCCGGTCTAAGGGCCCTGGAACCCGGCAGCCACTTCCTCGTTTGAAGTTGCCATGGCTGCAAGAGGAGCGGAGTAGGACGGAGCAGCGCCGGCCATACCACTGGGCACGGTGAATAATGCAGCTGCTGCCTTCACTAACACTGGCATTTTTCATTATGTATGCTGCTCTCCCGTCGAGCTGCATCACCCCGGCTTACCCTACATGCATTCCAGCTAAGAAGGCATTTTGTTCCTGTTTGGAGGGGGGAAAATCTGTGATGACATTACTACAGCATTTAGCAAAAGTCATCAAATAATCCACCCTGCCTCTATGCAAAGTGCTGCTTGATAAGAGAGGGGTAGTTGTAAACACACACACACACACACACACACACACACACACACACACACACACAAACAGTTAGAGAGTACGGGTAAAGCTTTGAAATAACTTCTTCAATGCGTGTTTTTTATTATTTTGTATTGATTTTTCTACATCTGTGTCATGTTGGATGTGAACCAACTCAGACTCAGTGAAGGGGGTCACAGAAGTGTTGATGAGGGAATCCAATGATAAAACAAATAGACAAGTCATTGGTCTAAACCAGGGGTGTCCAAACTTTTTTGTAAGAGGGCCACTTTAGTTCACCAGACTAGTCCAGGGGCCGACATCACAAATTGAAAAACTGTCTTGACTGGCATTGGGCTGTTCTAAGCTTTAAAATGATCTATAACAGAGCTGAAGTTGGCTGAATGACAAATGTTTACCATCTCTCCAGCTACAGTTGCACCATTAACAGAAGTGACACAATCAAAAACCACGTCAGTACAGTTTGTCCAAATAGAACAAGGTCTATATTTCCTGAGCTGAAGCTAGATGGATGACAAAGTGAACTTGTGTTGATGATCTCAAAGACTATTTCGGGTAAGCATGGCAGAGGGCCACATAAAATTACACTGAGGGCCGCATTTGGCCCCCGGGCCTGAGTTTGGACATGCCTGGTCTAAACAGATTATCCAAATAAAAAAAGTAGAGAGTGGACAGAGTAGTAAAATACTAGAACCAGTTTGTAAATCTGTCAGATTAATGCAGCTACCATCATGGAGCAGTCTTCCTGAAAATGTTAATGTCTTTGTTTTGTTCAGCTGTGCATATGGCTTAGAGATTGTAGCTGCATTAACATGATTGCTTTTGATATATTGACTGTTAAGACCTTTTTATCTGTTTATCCTTTTAAACAATCCTAAATCATAAACTAAATTCAGTATTTATGAGAAAAGCAGTTATTACACCACCTTTAATGTTTTCTGTGTATGATGTTAATGTTTCTTTGCCTTTTGGAGTTGTTCCTTGCAAATGCTGAATGTCTGAGGACAGTAATTATCTGGAACATTTATTAACATTTATGGACGTTGTAAGTAAGTAAGTAATCTTTATTTATATACCGCCTTTCACAGACCAGAGTCCCAAAGCGGAGTCACATTGGTCATCGCACTCCCTGTGGACCAATATAGATGAACTTGTTCTGTTTGTGCTCCTCCTCGCTTTTGCTGAGAGCAGTCGTGTGTCTCTCGGCTCTGCTTTTGCTTCGCCTTTTAATCTCCTTGAATCATTTTATTTACATTTTTTTGTTTCTCCTTTAATCATTTTATTTACAAAACGAGGATTACTCCTTCTACACACTTCAGCTTTGTGGAATTTATCAACTTTAGTCATGTCGGGACGTAAGAGACGGAGAAACGTCTGCGACGGCTGTTGTGCTCTGGAAAATCAGCTCAAATCTCTTCAAACACGGATATCTATTGTGGAAACAGAAATGGGACTTAACCCGACTCTTCCAATGAGTGAAAATGGGATGAATGGACAGACTGGAAATGTAAGTTATGACGTCATTTCTTTTCCCAAAATCAACAATGAGAATTATTGGAACTATTGTGGAGCTAAACCCAAAGTTGACAAAGCTAAGAATGACAATAGGAGTGAAATAAGGCCACAACTAAATGTTCTGAAGACTTCAAACCGCTTTTTACCCCTTTCTGAAACAACAAAGCCGCTAACAACTGCAGCGCCTCCACCAAGGACAAACTGTGTCCTTATCGGAGATGGTTCGGTGAAAAATGTAAACATGGAGTCCATGCTCACTATCTCAGTTCACTCTGCAAAAGTTGCTGAGATAAGGTCTCTTCTGCCTAAAGTGTTATCTGAGAACAGTGGTGTGCGTACATTATTGATCCACACGGGGGCGGTAGATATCTATGAGAAGGCAAGTGAGAAGTTACGAATGGATTTAACGCTGTTACTGGATGACCTCAAGAAAATGGACATAACAATTTTCCTTAGTGGCCCACTTCCAAATATAGATGGAAAAATGGAGAAGTTTAGCCGTCTGTATCAGCTAAATACATTCCTACTCAATGAGTGTTCACGCAGAGGACTTGGCGTCATTGAAAACTTTAACCTGTTCTGGAATAGGCACGAGCTTTTTGAAGAAAAAGGCCCACATCTGAACAACTACGGAGTAAAAGTGCTGATGGATAACTTTGCATCTGCCCTAAGACCTCAGCCTGCGCAGCGCGTGCAGCCGTCGAAAGGGAGAAAGAAGAAGCAAAGGGCACAGACATCACGACCATCTCCACCGACTCCCGAGGTCTCTGCACCCCCACCGCCTCAAAAGAACTCCACACCTCCACGATTCAAGAAGAACTCAACACCTCCAAGGTTCCAAAAGAACTCAACACCTCCACGGCTCCGAAAGAGCTCAACGCCTCCACCACCAGCATCATCAGCAGCTGCCACATCTTCATCAGCGCCATCAGCATATACAGCACCACCAGCAGCAGTGGATACAGCCGCAGCAGTGGCTGCTCCATCATCTTCAGCAGCAGCAGTGGCTGCTCCATCATCTTCAGCAGCAGCAGTGGATACAGCAGCAGCAGTGGCTGCTCCATCATCTTCAGCAGCACCTTCCCCACCTACAGCTCCCGTGAAGCTTCCCCCACTGCTCCAGGCTACAGTCAGGCCTGTACTGGGGGTTCCTCAACCACCTCTGTCTCCACCAAAGACTCCCTCATCACCTTCCATGGACCCGGCTTGGGTCCCCCCCGCTACATCCACTCCATCTAGGGAAAATGAGGACGACCTTTCCCTTTGTTTTCTATCCCCGCCTTCACTACTGGATTTACCGGAACACTCTGCAGGCATGATAAGATTGGCGATGAAGACTATTCCTCTCACACCCACTGTAGCCAGATCAAGAGTCCTATCTAACATTCAAAACTACTCCCCATACGTACCTCCAAAGCCACCTAGGGCGTCCAACTCAAATTCTCCCACAAAATCCACCCGTCCCTCCTCTAACCCCATAAGTATTCCACCCCCCCCTCCTGCTCATTTAGCCCACCTCCCCCCTAACCCAGCACCAAGAAACCCTCCACCTCCACTCCCCCCTCGTCCACCACCCAACTCAGCCTGCCCCTCCCCTAACCCATCACCAAAAACCCATCCACCTTCAACCCCCCCCCGTCCAACTCCCAAGAACCACCTGCCTCTCCATCCTCTTCCCCCACCTTCCCCTTCCCCTCTTCTCTCTAAGCACTAGGATGCACAGGGTCTCTGCTTCGCAGCCACTGGCAGTCTAGTTAGAGGAGAGACCCGGCTGGGGCCCTGTCATGAAGCCACCTGTGCCATTCCTTTAGTGATAACACAAAGAATACATTACAGAAAAACATCTGAAGTTAATCAGTCTAATCAGGAAAATGTGTAAGAATCAGCCGACCACAACCGCTGATACTGAAACTTTGAAACTTGCTATGCTAAATGTCAGATCTCTTTGTAACAAGTCTTTTTTAATCAATAATTTTATTTGTTCTTATAATCTAGATCTTATGTTCATGGCTGAAACTTGGCTTGACCAAAATACAGAAAATGCAGTTTTAATAGAAGCATCACCACCAAATTTCAAATTTGAATCTGAAATACGGGAAAACAAAAAAGGAGGAGGCTTAGCTGCCATTTTCAGAGACCACTTTGTCTCCCATAGAATGTCTCTTGGGAAGTTTCCGTCTTTTGAATATGTGTCTTTTAAAATACAACAAAAACAATCTCGTCCAATACTCTTCATTGTCCTATACAAGCCACCGCAGTCAGGTCACAGATTTATTGATAATTTTACGGAGTTGCTTTCAGTTTTATGCACAGATTTTGATAGCTTAGTTATTACAGGGGATTTTAATATTCATGTGGATAATGTTATTGACAGAAAGGCAAAAGAGCTGAGTTCTGTTCTTGAATCTTTTGGTCTCACTCAGCATGTGAGTGGCCCCACCCACAGCAGAGGGCACACTCTAGACCTGTTAGTTACTAAGGGGGTGAATATTTCAAATGTAAACGTGGTCGATGTTGCGCTTTCGGATCATTTCTGTGTATTTTTTGACATGTGTTTCACTAACAAACCACCAGTGGACTCTGCAACTGTACGAAGAAGACACATAAATGAAAATACGGGTGAACTATTTATGGGAATGATAAACTTTGAGAATGCATCGTATTCTACTGTAGATGAACTGTTTAACTCTGTCACCTCTAGTGTTTTGAATGTTCTGGACACCATCGCTCCTGTGAAGGTTAAAACAGTGAAAAATAAGCAGAAGGCGCCGTGGGCTAAAGCAGACTCGGTCAGGGCACAAAAGAGAGAGTGCCGGAGGGCCGAGCGGAAGTGGCGCAAGTCCAACCTCCAGGTTGACTACGAGATCTTCAAAGATAAGTTGTGCGAGTTTAACCAGGTGCTACGTAGTACGAGAGAAAGGTATTTTTCTGAAATGATTGAAGGCTGCAGCAACAATCTGCGTGTTCTGTTTTCAACAGTTAATAGATTAACAAACCCCCCTGTTCAGATGCCATTAGAGCTAACTTCCAAACGTAAATGTAATGAGTTTGCACATTTTTTCAATGACAAGGTTCAAGGCATCAAAAACGCCATTGTCTCCAATCCACAGATAACCATCCAACAGCCTAAAAGGCTCTTTGAGCTAACTTACTTTGCACCTGTAAATGATCAAACTGTCCAAGAGATAATCTCCAGTCTGAGCGCCTCCACATGTAGCCTGGATGTACTACCCACTAGATTTCTAAAGTCTGTTCTGAGCAGTCTGTTACCTTCACTCACACAGATAGTAAACATGTCCCTTCATTCTGGAATATTCCCAAAGGCCCTGAAAACTGCAGTCATCAGGCCCCTGCTTAAAAAGAGCAGTCTAGATGCTACGGTACTTAACAACTACCGTCCCATCTCAAATCTGCCATTTATGGGGAAAGTCCTTGAAAAAGTTGTCTACCAACAGCTAAATAGATTTCTTATAATCAACAACTCATTTGATATGTTTCAGTCCGGCTTTAGACCCCACCACAGCACTGAGACTGCTCTCGTCAAGGTTACAAACGATATCCGGCTAAACACTGACGCAGGCAAAGTCTCAATCCTAATCCTGTTAGATCTGAGTGCTGCCTTTGACACTGTCGACCATGAGATCCTCTTACAGAGACTAGAGAACTGGGTTGGCGTCGCTGGCACCGTCCTAAGTTGGTTTAGGTCTTACCTTGAAGACAGGAAGTACTTTGTGGAGATTGGAAACTGTGTCTCAGATCATATGGCCCTGACCTGTGGAGTACCACAGGGGTCGATCCTGGGACCTCTTCTTTTCAATCTCTACATGCTGCCGTTAGGTCAGTTAATACGCAGAAACGAAGTTTCCTATCATAACTATGCAGACGACACTCAGATCTATGTCTCACTGACTGCAGGAGAACATGGACCAGTGGACTCACTCCTTCACTGTATCCAACAGATCAGTAAGTGGATGCAAAACAACTTTCTTCAGCTAAACGCAGACAAAACTGAAATGATTGTCTTTGGTCCCCAGAAACAAAGAGAGAGCGTCATCTGTCATCTACAGTCTCTCTCCCTAAAACCTTCAAACAAGGTCAGAAATCTAGGGGTAATACTGGACTCAGACTTAAATTTTAATAGCCACATCAAATCAGTAACATCAGCAGCTTTTTACCATCTAAAAAACATTTCCAGGATCAAAAACATAGTGTCTAAAGCAGACCTGGAGATTCTTATCCATGCATTTGTCTCCAGTAGGTTAGACTACTGCAATGGCCTCCTCCACAGGTCTGTCCAAACAGGCTGTAAAACAGCTGCAGTACATTCAAAATGCAGCAGCTCGAGTCCTGACTAGAACCAGGAAGTACGACCATATTAGTCCGGTCCTCAGGTCTCTGCACTGGCTTCCTGTGGCTCAGAGAATAGACTTTAAAACAGCTTTGCTTGTGTACAAGTCTCTCCATGGCCTCGCACCAAAATATATTAGAGACATGTTAGTCCCATATGAACCAGCCCGGACTCTGAGGAGCACAGGGACTGGACTCCTGTTAGTGCCCAGAGTCAGAACTAAACATGGGGAGGCTGCTTTTCAGATTCATGCTGCTAAAATCTGGAACATTCTTCCTGAAGATGTGAGACAAGCCTCCTCTCTGACTATGTTTAAAACCAAGTTAAAAACTGTGCTGTTTAGCTGTGCATACAACTGAGGGATTTTATATTTTTATCTTTCTTTTTAATGTTCTGTGATTATTTATGATTTTAATGCTTTCTTGTTTTGTTCAGCACTTTGAGTTGCCTTGTGTATGAATTGTGCTATACAAATAAACATGCCTTGCCTTGCCTTGCCTTTGATTCTCTATTCTGTTGTAAAGTTGGAGACAGCTGTTGTGACTTTGTGCTGTAAAAATGATAATTGAATTGCCTTTGGTTTGCCTTGTGTATACATTGAGCTATGCAAATAATCTGCCTTTCAATTCAACTTGTGGTTCTGAATCAAAGCTTAGAGCCAACCACCTCGCTGTGTGTTGAATGCTGCATGTTTATCAAATACAAGATGAAGTGTGAGAACCTTGGTAACTTCGTTTTCAGGCACCCCTCGGAGGCGGGCGTAGAACTCCAGGTGCTCCTGTCCCGTGAGAAGGTCGTTGATGGCGTCAAACTGAGGACAGTAGCCCAAGTTCTGGTGGACCTCCCTCATCTCTGTGCGAATGCTGCAAAACCACACCATGAACAGTTATGTTGAGTAGAAATTATTATTATTATTATTATTATCTTTATTTATCAGACTCGAAGTCCATAAAAAACAAAAAAACACATCACAAACACAACAGACAAACACTTATAAAAGAAAACTGTACCAGAGCTTCCACAGATCTGACTGGTATGTAGGCGACTCTGGGATAACAAGGCTAAGCTTAAACACGATTGGTTGAAGTCCACGATTTGCGAAGAGAAAGGATTTTTTAACACATTTTTTTCTACTGGTATGAGCATTATTTGGAAATGGGTGTTGTGCATTTCTGATGTTTTTGACTGTAAACAGAATGCTTGACGTTTTGTACTGCACTTTGCTGAAATCTGGGGCACACGACTTTCAAACTGCAAATAAACTTTGTTATGATTCATGGATATACAAAAAAATAATAATAATTGAATACTACCGTGTAAAAATGTAATAAAATCTACCTAGTTCCTCCCTGTACTTTTGGCCATCTTTAAAACACTTTCCCAACTTTTTCAGTGGTAGGGGAAAGTGAAACAGAGGGGACTACTCTCCCAAAGAGTCAAATGGTGACCCACAGAACTTCATCTTGCAAAAATGTAAATGTGCACTTTATTCATCTTCATAGAGAGCTTAGTTTGGCCCATCCTTCAACGCCACAAGGGCCTCTGTCAGTCGCAGCGATCGCCATAGCACAGCATCAAGGACCCATCTCCAGAGGAAGGAAACGGGCAGAACATGCAAACTCCACTCTGAAAGACCCTGTTTCGATTGGGTTTGAACCGAAGACCTTCTTGTTGAGATGCAAGAGATGTTGAATAATTTGTTCACATGTTTTTCCTTTTGTAAGACTCATATTGGGACAAGCCAGAGCAGCTTTAAGTTATGTTATTTGATGTATTGGCAGTCTTGCATGACAACAACATAGCGTGCTACTCAGCTATAACTAAAGCGGAATCAAAAAAGCGGAATCAAAAATGTACAGCTGGCTGTAAACATTTCATTTCATTTACATCCCTTTATTTTCCATTTATGGGTCAGGGGGGTGGCAATCAGAACTGCCACCCAATTCACATAGCACCAGTCCCTCGCTGATCTTCCTGCAGGGGGTGGGTCCAGGGGAAGATGGCTGCACCTTCAACACAGATGTAACCTTGGTCTTTCAGCGGGTACTTCAGGCACATTGGGGTTAACTGTCTTGCCCAGGGACACAACGACAGCAGACATCAGTGGGAGCAGCTGACATGGGTCGTGGTGGGATCGAACCCACGACCATTGGGTCCAAAGACCAGTGTTCTACCAACTGAGCTACTGTCGCCCCTGGCTGTAATCAACACATTTTTAATAACACAACACCACCTTTCTTACTCTGAGGAATTCTGTACTGCTACTTTCAATGTGTAGAAATGAGTGTGTTGAAAATATGCCCCTCGACAGTTGTTGGACAAACATCGGCCCACACAAACATGCCGCTACAGAAGTATTTATACAGCAATTATAAACAGTGTTCACACCTTATTCCTCTTGCACAAATAAAAGAGAAAATAGCAACAAACTTTCACTAAGCGATTCTGAACAAGAGCGTAGCAAGCGTATGGAAGAGTGCGTGTTTCTACATCTGCTTTCTTTTCTTTCTTACATTTTGGATTTGCCTCCAGGTCTTTCTTTTGATCTCTCTGAGCCACATTAATCAACATTAACTTTGCGCTTTTAGACCTTGTTTCCGATCTTCCGTTGAGCTACTGTAACAAGTGCGCTAACAATCAACCCAGAGCTAACAGCGCGATGCAAACAGAGCGCCGGTTTGTTCCTAAAAATAAGGAAGCGGTTGCCTTGCTTTCCAACAAGTTCCCACAATGCTTGCGTTAAAGTTTTTTGGCAGGTTTCTTTTGAGGGATTTTTTTTATAAGGCTGACGGGGGGAGGAAAAAGAAGCAAGGTATCAGGGCGAAGATGTGAAAAGGAATAGGATATGTGCTACAAGAAACAGTGTCTTTCTGAGAATAGAGTTTGTAAGAAGACATCACAGAGATAAAGTTGAAACGCAGAGAGTCTGGGAGAAAATATGGAAACTGCTTGAATGTACACAGGAGGGGCAGAGAGAATGCGCTGCAGCTCGGGATACAAACCAGCCCCAGCTCCTTCCCCATCAGCGTGGCCGTCTTGGGTGGCTAATTATGATGAGTTACCGGGTGCTCCGCCGGGAGTTAGCCGCTCACCTGTATCCGTTTAGGAAGGCCTCGCCAGCTGAGACCGGAATGTCTCCTGTCAGCATCTTGAATGTGGTGGTTTTGCCGGCTCCATTGATTCCCAACAAACCAAAGCACTGGCGAACACAAAAGAATTAGTTTTGATGCAAGGTGTGTGTCCCCGGTGAATGAGGCACAGAGACAGTGTGATAGATGCTGTAGCAATATGTGTTTTGTGATTGAGTTTTTTTGTCTGATTTATTCTACTCTTAGGCGGCCTTGAGTCTCTTAAAAGGCACAATTAAAACAATGAAATATTATTTTTATTTAGTTATGTGCTAACTATCTTTCATGGACTATACTGACTGTCAAAACATTCTTATTTCCAAAGCTCTATGGATTCATTTATAATAAAAACTTTTTGGTCTGGAGCATAGACTGTATTCTTGGGTTTCATATGACATACATGTGACGTATCCTGGGGGTGCAGTCTGCCGGGTTTATACACGGAGATATAGTAGAAGAAGAAGCATCTTTTTGTGCGGTGTACGCTTGTAGCAACCGCACAAATAGAGAAAAAGACCAGAGTTTGTTCATGTTCCAACTGTGGTCTCAGTGAAAAAATCACTGGAATGAGGCGGGCGAGGTGGATCAAGGCTTTCCCAGATAAGCGCCCCCTGCAGGCCACCCCAATGAAACGCAGCAATTTCTTCGGTTTTTCTTTCTAAAAATGCCCGAAATTCAGACTCTTGAAAATCTGGAACAATCTTCCTGAAGATGTGAGACAGGCCTCCTCTCTGACAATGTTTAAAGCCAAGTTAAAAACGGTGCTGTTTAGCTGTGCATACAACTGAGTGATTTTATATTTTTATCTTTCGTTTTAATGTTCTGTGATTATTTATGATTTTAATGCTATCTTGTTCAGCACTTTGAGTTGCCTTGTGTATGAATTGTGCTATACAAATAAACTTGCCTTGCCTTGCCTTGCCTTGAGAAATATTTCTTAGTTCTCCCTTAGAATTGAGTGTCCCTGATTAAGACCGTTCCAACAACCGTACACCGCACAGGAAGAAAGCCTTTGACTCCAAAACAGACTTTACATGGTTTTCAATGGGAGCAACACTGTCCCACCTCTGCTCATGCGCCCCCTACAGGCCAGTTTAATGAAACACAAGAATATAGATGGACAATGCTAACCCGCTAGCTCAAATAACTCCTTTTACTCTATTACCGTTTGTTTCACACCTTTTTGGGTTTTCAAATGTGTGGTTTTGTGCACTCTACGATCCTGGTGTTTTTATGTAGATAATATATTTTAAACCCAGTTATGATTCCTAACAACTATAACCAATCACGTCCCTTCTGTTCCTAAAATTGGCTTTGGCTTGAGCAGAAACAGACCAGTTGATTGGCTAATCGATTGCTAGGTCGTGGCTAGCTACATCTTTCGCCTCCAGGTTCTGTTAGCCTGTTCGAGTTAGCTCTAATAGGATTTTTCTGCATGAAGCAAACAATATGTGTGACGTCAGCACTTGGTTAGTCCACTTCTACGGTCTATGATCTCACACAGTTCACTTCAGAAGCAGAACCAGTCCTCTCAACATCCAATATCTGGCTCCAAAGTGGCCTGACAGACAGCGACAGTGGACCAGGGTTTGGGGCTTTAACACATCTTCACAAACAAATCCTATAAGGCCCAGAGTGCACCTGAGTCCACTTCACTTGAACCCCGGAGTAACACACTGAATATTTTTGGAAAACAAATCTTGACCAGGGATCAAGTGCGCATTTTGTTTCTGGTGATATTGTATTCTGTGGTTTATTAATCAACAATTCTTTTGATAACCTTAATTCGAGATGACAGCTGTTGTGACTGTGGGTGCTACAAAAATAAAATCATTTGAAGAAAAGGAATGTTCTCCAGACGCTTTGGTAAGTGGCAAAATTAACTGATTAAATATTTGATTGAATATTGTTTTGAAAAGAATAACATCTATATAGTTTTATAGGTTACATATTATTTCTTCTGATTTCCTAGTGTTGCAAGAAAAAAATATGATTATAACTTAAAGTATAAATAATCAAATTGAATACGATGCCTTTCCCTTAATAGTACTAAAGGGGCATTAAGGGATTGATGTGAAAAAAACCTCATATTTTAGCGTATTTGACAGTGGCTGTGTGCGGCCTCCTGCTGGTGCCCAGAGTTAGGACTAAACATGGGGAGGGGGCGTTTCAGAGTTATGCAGCTACAATCTGGAACAGTCTTCCTGAAAATGTGAGACAGGCGTCTACACTGACAAAGTTAAAATCCAGTTTAAAAACAGTTCTATTTTGCTGTGCACACAATTGATGCTTGTATCTTTACTCTTATTATAATACATTATTCAAATGTACTTTGATTATTTATGATTTCAATGCCTTGTATGGTCGTTTCTATCTGGCTTTGTTAAGCATTTTGTTGTTAACTTATTGACTGCCAGCCGTTTTTGATGATTTCACTGATTCTCAAGACCCACAGAATATTATTTCCTAAGACTATGTGGAATATGAAACCAGATTCTGAAAGACTGGATTGTCTTCTTTCATCAGCAAAAATAAAGTTGTTTCTAGCTGTTTTTATTGTCCTGTAATCCCCAGTCGAATAGAGGGTCTCAGAGAAACTTGTCAATGGCTGTCAATGAGCACCAAAATAAACTTGCCTTGCCTTTACTTTCCATCAAAGTGGTCTCTTGGACACTGTAGAATGAATTGTTTGGAATGTTCTCTGCTGAGGGACCACCAACAAAACAACAACATTGATCTTGGAGCTCTGCAGATACAACCATCATCAGAGGTTAAGGCTGCCCACTCATGCTGCCAACTGCACAGTGTACTTTTAATATCAGTAGTAAGTAGTAATCCATATCTATACAGCACATCTTTACACACCAAGGTCACCCAAAGCGCTTCGGCTTCACAATGTTCAGATACAATATAATTTAGTAAAACTGAAATGAGTTACAAATAATAGTCCTAAAACAATTCTAGCAGAGTCGTTTTGTTTTTGTTTCATCTTCACTTCTGGATCAGAGCCTGGATGGCAGTCACACTTGAAAGAGCAAAATGCTTTCCAAACAATCCAAACCCATTACATCCTGAGTTTCACCGCAAACAGCTAAAATTAATAATTAACAAACCCAACATCACCGGTGACTCATTCTTTAAGACCGCTCACGCAAATTTGCCTTTTTTTTCCTCACCGACTTATACGCTCGCTCGATTGTTATGTACAAAGAAAAACTAACACCGACATGGCAGTCACAGTGCTACAAATACTTCCCGACTCTCGCGGATCCCTCCAGCGTTTCTTGTGTAAAGTCTAACAAACAAACAACATTGTATGCTCTTTGCTCTCTCCACTGAGCCCTCGCCGTCATGTGGCCTCCCAGCTCAGGTGCTCCGGCTCCAACATGAATATTTGATCGCTGTCATGCATTGATCCCTGCCTGTCTGTGACCCGGATATGCAGAGACAGGCTGCGTGCCATGTAAATAAATGGAAATGCGACGTGTGTGTCTCCTCGGTGGCATTTACACGGGGCTTTTGGGCAAACAGCGGTGGTACCAGCGCAAAGCCGGCAGAGCGCGGTCGCCTGTCAGCCTGGGAGATTATGTTTGAAATCAAATTTGCGGGACGTGCTCCTCGGTGCGCCCACCATGGATGTTTTAAAAGTGACGGGAGATCGATGCAGTGCTAAAGTTTCCGTGTCTAAATGGTGAAGGGAGTTTTTTAATCCATTGAACATCTTCTTGTACTTGTAGATAATGCAGTGATATTGTAGGAGAGAATAGTGTGCTCTCTATGGGGAAAGACTGTCCCACTTATAGGGCGTTTCTCCTCTTTTCTACGCACGCAAATGAACCAATTCACACACACATGCATACAGCAGTGTACACAGACACTGGGAGAGAGGCAGGTTAAGTGTCTTGCTCAAGGACAAGACACTTAACCACTTAATTGTTCAGGAGGTATAATAGGAATGTATCAGAGATTCTTAGAAAATACAAGGCACTTATGGATCTCCTTGAAAATACTTTAAAAGCCTTTGTTACATGGCCATATTTTAAATGTCCACCAATGCATCAAGGCCCAGCATGGCCCCGCATGGCCCAGCATGGCCCTCCTCAGGGTGTGTATTTGAAAACTACACGTTACAATAAAGCCTTTTAAAAGGAGATAACCAGGGCCTTGGATTTCTCATCCTCAGAATCTTGTTTCCAATCATTTAAAATGCAACTTTGATTAGATCTGTAGCCGTATTATTTACAAAATAACACTCAACATTGTATAAATTACAAATAGTAAAACCTTTGGGGAGTGAGAACAGAGTGTTGTGCAGCCGTGGCTCACCTCAGCAGCAGGCACGCCCACACAGAGCCTGTCCACAGCGGGGGGACTCTTCCGAGAGTACACCTGGTGAGAAGAGAGAAGAAAGGAACCGGTGAGCGAGAATACAGAGCCAGCGGTAAAAAGAGCAGACAGAGAGAGATATAACACTGCTGAAGGTGGCGGGAGAATATATGGAGCGATAGACCAAAGCAGTGGGGGAGAGGTGCAGGAAATGAGGGGGAGGTGGAGGGGGCTTTAACAAGAAAGGATCATTTGCACCATTTAGAGGGCAGCAGATGGGACAAGGTGAAAAAACACAGGTATTTCCACAGGGAAGACAGATGGACAAGTGATGCTATATGTGTGACATCCATCCATGACTTTGAACACTGCTGCGATCCAGGTGATTATGAAAAGTACAAAAACACAGGAGACAACCATGTTAGAAGTATTATTTTTTCATTTTTGTTAGAGCAGGGCAGCTACCTAAATGAAATCAATCTAAATAGTTCCTCACAATCAGAACAGTCTGGTTCTACCTCGCTAATGTTCACATGTATGTATTGTTCTGCCTCTGTTACATATTAAGATCAGATTGTTTCAGATAGAACAGTCAACCCACAGGGACCATCCTTCTCAGCCAATCAGCTCTCAGCCCCGAGAACCGTATAGTGACGCACAGGGCTCTATAAGCACAATATGTAGTCTAATAATATGAAGACAGCTACAACAACAACAACTTCTTGTATAGCCCTAAATCACAACAGAATCATCTCAGAGGACTTTCTAACTAGCTACATAAGCACAATGTAAGGATTTTTGTGCTAATTATCACAAGTGCATCTCTAGTAAAATCACTAGTCACAAAATGGTATTGAATGCCTGTAATGGCAAAGCTGAAGTTGGCTGGATAACATGTGAACTTGTTTATAAACTCAATGGCTACTTTGAGTTAGCAAATTATACAGAGGGTGAGACTTCGAACACGCCTCTTCTAGACAAACGATAAGTCATTTTGTTCTTCTACAGCAGACAAATGTAAGATGGAAATATGTCTCGACTTTTTAAAAGATTAACTTTTCTAAGTTTTACTGAAAACGTATTTATCTGAAGAGTATACATCCATCCATCCATCCATTTTCTTCCCCTTAATCCATTTCTGGGTCGGGGGGGTGTCAGTCAGAGCTGCACCCAGTCCACAGAGCACCAGCCCCTCACTGAGCCTCCTGCAGGTGCTGAGTCCACAGGAGCTGAGATCTTTCAGCGGGAGCTTCAGGCAAAGTGGGGTTAAGTGTCTTGCCCAAGGACACAACGACAGCAGTCATCATTGGGAGTCATGAAGTCGGTCGCATGGTGGGCTCGAACCAACAACCTTCCAGCTCTAAGGCCAATGCTCTACCAACTGAGCTACTGTGAGAGTATACAATACAATAAGATTTATTTTTATATAGCCCTAAATTGATTGATTGATTTTATTCATTCGAGCAGAAATTTTACAATCATAAGTATTCACAATATTTACATTTCTTAGTTTACATGATTCTTTATACATGCCTGCTGTACTTACAGTATATACTTATACATGGAAATATATAAACATAACTATACAATCAAGCAATAGTTGCCCTAGTTTCACCATGTGTTGCATATCTACAATATCAATATGTAAATCACGACAGCATCATCTCAGAGACTTAACAAAACCATTGAAATCACCAACACAGATCAGAGAATCAACAGTTAAAACACATAAAGAACATAGAACACATGTTGATAAATGTTAAAGTGTCCTGGATCATCACAGTCCTTCTAGTTGGACACTAACAGACCCTCCTGCTTCGGTTTGTGAGGAGTTTTGACCAGATGTGGTTGAGAAATATAGTTCAGGTGTTTGTTTTTGACTGTTATGTGATTGGGTTATGAAATGTAGAACAGAACATATTTATATTTCCCTTGAGTTTGCAAACCTCAGAAAGAGAAAAGTAAACACCTTATGCTGCAGAGACTAGTGTCTACATAAAACCAAACAAACTTATAATTATGAATAAAACTAACTTAATCAGAAGTGACTAATTGTGCCAGTCTTTTTGTGAGATAAGTTTAGTATTAGTATGTTTAATTTGGTTTTTTCTGAGCTAATTAGGAGAGAAAACTGATATTCATAGCAGATATATGTATTGTGATGTACTTATTCTATACTTATATGGTCTTGTCAAGTTCATGGTAATTGCCATTGTTGAGCTTTGTTTCTTCTGTGAATACGGATCGATTGAAGTAGTAAGTAAGTAATCTTTATTTATATACCGCCTTTCACAGACCAGAGTCTCAAAGCGGTTTACAATTGTTCATTTTGGGCATTTGTCCTCTCACTCCACACAGAGATGGGAGCGGGGTCGCCGGTACAGGAGGCGCATGCCAGAATTATTGGGCATATTTTTAGTGGTAGGGGAAACCGGAGTACCCGGAGGAAACCTACGCAGACACGGGGAGAACATGCAAACTCCACTCAGAAAGGCCCTGGTCCGACTGGGATTCGAACCCAGGACCTTCTTGCTGAGAGGCGAGAGTGCTATCCACTCTGCCTCCGTGCCGCAGAGTGGCACGGTGGCAGAAACAGATTAAGAACTGAGATCTGTTCTTAATCTGTTTCCATGGTTTGTTACAATTGTCATGTCTCTATGCAGCGCAACACGATAAATATTGGATTAAAAAAAAGTGGTTATCGTTTGTAAACTCTCGCTATAGCAATAACTTGAATCGTATGGATTTGTGACAATGTCTGGTAAAAAGGTGATAAGGAAATGGCTAACGGTGGAGGAATCTAGTATAACTCAAAAACCAAAGGGTAAGGAGTGCTGCGTGGTACAAGCGTGTACAATAATTTAAAAGACCAGTTGCTCAATTGGAAGAGGGGTTTAACTTAATAACATAAATGGAGTTTTGACTTTCCAGGTAAAAGGCGAATTATGAAGATCTTAGAACCACGAGTGCCTTGTATTTTTTGATTTTCTAAGATCTTCATAATTTGCCTTTTACCTGGAAAGTCAAAACTCCATTTTTTGTTACTGACATCTAGTAGAAGACTGGAATTCCCAGATTTGGTTATGCCGTTTCTGCTATTTTGCTAAAATGTGTTTTCTTTATCAAAAATAAAGACATTTTGATGTTAATAGATTATTTTTCCAACTTTTAATTACTACCTTAAGTCCCCCATAGAGCTCAATGGAACATATCCCAGTATCCAAGGTTTGCATCTGTAAAGCAGGCAGCCTCCTACATCCTCCCCCACTGACCACCCTCATCCATAAACATTAGCGTTCCCTTCCGAATCTGTAAAAATATATATAAAAAAAACTTATATAGTCCAAGAAACTGCTGCAGCTTTAAAATGCATCAACTTTAGATACTTCTGACAGTTTGGAAGCGGCGCTCTGTTGTCGAGCTGCGAGACAAGCTGAGGCCTTTGTTGCCACGGTGACAGATGAGATGGTTCTTATCCAAATTCCAAGGACTGAACCGTACGCGACGACTTAGACAGTTGCTTTTAAACAATTGAAAACAAACTTCACAATTTCGAGTCATTGCAAACTATGGAATGTTTCCAACTTTCTAAAACTCGAGTTCATTTTGAGTGACGGTAAACAAAACATGCGGCGTCTGTAAGCTGCAGATCGAGGGGAAAGACTGAGGAATGGTTGATATCAGTAAAGCCGATATCCTGATTGGGTCTTTCAATTAGCAATAATAATGTAAATATTTGCTGATATTAAAGTATATGTCTGTTAATTTTCAGTGAAACTTTTTGAAGACAAGCACTTGCAGCACTCTCCTCCAACAAATCTTACTGGTCCTGGTCCTGCCAAGGGGAGGGACTATTTTGAATCTGTCAAATGGTCAGAAATATACATTGTTTTAAACATGAAATACAATTGAAGTAGCTGACATCACATGCAGATTGTTTTTCTGTAACTAGCTGCTAGACTTAAAAGTAACTGTTTAAGACACAGTTGGACTAGCCTTGGATACGTACAGCTGTGACCCTAAGTCAAGGGAATCATATAGCAAGAAATATGGCATTGAACTAGAGCTTTCTTACCAGCTCTCTAAACAAATTTAAAGAAAGGACAGTAGAAGCACAAAGGGTTCGCTGATCCAAACCTCAAATTCTTTACGGTCTCATGCCCTTTAACACTTCTGTTTACACATCTCTACATGCTACTATTGTTGGGTTTAGTGACGTCAAGTGCACCACCATTTAATTGTAGGGAATCTGCTTATAGCGCTCATTAACGAAATAATGATTAAGATTTCAAAGAGTAATGATAACTGTTGCATGCACTAATTACTCACGGCAGGAAGTTCCACAGAAACATAAATACTTATTTTCAGTATCGCCTCTGTAGCGAAAGTACTATACAACCTTTGCTGGATTACTATTGCAACACATCATCAGTGAGGACCAGAGACTGTAAATATAAACGAACGTAGTCAGGCCTATCTCCGCCGTTCTGACGAATGGGCCAAAAATTGGGCTTTCATGGAGTGATTTAAAATGGCCGCGGGGGCTGGAAATTGTGAATAAACGCATCTGTGCATGTGTCAGCTGCACGAGCTCCATTCATTTAAACGAATGACTTCAAAAATTCACAGCGACTAAACTAGACTGGTCCAGAACACTCCCTCAGCATTGACACACATGTGGAACGGAGCTTTGGGCCAAGAGCCAACTTTTAGACCATTCTGTAAAGACGTTCTCCAGAGGTCAGCTAATGCTATATGTTAGCATTGGCTAATTGTTATTCTGGGTCCACCCCCACAGGCCCGGGGTGGTATTGCAGCATGTCAGCGCACGTCATTTTGGCCACTTTTGAGCCGGGACCCGCCCACACTGGTCAGGACAAGTAACCTGTCTCACAGCGGGCTACAGCCTCGTTCCCACCACGGCAGGGTAACATGCAAAGTCAAAGGTGCCGTATACGTCTGTGTGAATAATGTGCAGTGTAGCATGCACTTTTCTCTGGACCCAGGTACGTTTGTGCAGCACGGCACGTTCGTTGAGTACAGGAAGTGGCAAAAACTCATGA